GTTCAAAGGATTTGTTTACTTAAGTTACAAACAAATGAATAAGTTACTTTTCCTACTTTCGTTTTGGCGAATTCATTAGTCATAATTGTGGCGAGGCAAAGATTCCTACGGATGTTTATCCACATACAACAGGAGGGAACTTTGATTCAACAATAACTACTTGTTGTACTGATGTCAAATTTGGTGTCAGCAAATCTTCTTCTGAGGCAAGCAACATCAAATAGAAGATACTGTCTGCACAATGGACGGAATTTATAACTACAAAGTAGCCAAAGTTAAATCGTTACCACTCACCTGCACCAGGGAATATACGCAACCATAAAAGGCTTCTCGTTTTGGCTTTTCTGGAATGTCCTCCTTTCAATTTGACTTCCGATAAGTCCGAAATGCTTAAGAGCTCGCGTCGCTGTCATATGGATGCGGATTGTGAATGCGCTGATAGGCACTGCAAGGCGGGTGCCAGTCACACTGGCAGGAATACGCCAGTGGCTCCAGCACTCGAAAAGTTGTTGCGTGCGCCCATTCCTCGTACCTCCCACATCACGCATGCACGTCGACAACAATGCCGTTCATGCTAAAATCCCCTACCTCCTTGATTACTACCATTTGCAACTCTAGTGGATGCGAGCCGTTGCGCGCAAACATAAATTTGTAAAGTTGGAGTTTGATAGAGTACATTAGCACCTCCTCCTAATTAAAAGCACAAATAGGGGAACGTTGCTCTTATGCTTGTGAAGGAGAAAGTACATGAACAAAACTTAAACAACGAGGTGTAACAGAAGAAGCGTCGGAATATCAACGCCCCATGTGAGGTATGCGTAGCAACTACTGTTGCATGATGATCAAGTATCCACGATTCACAGACGATGCACAGGAGATACGTAATGCAGAATTTCTCTTCAGATGCAACTGCGTCTGCGGACATGATGTGTGGCAGTTGAGTTTGGCGAATAGGGAAAGGCTATGAAGGTGATGGAGAGTGACTAGCAGCAGGCAGCTCACTGCAGTATTTTTCATTCCTAGCGGTAGATCAAAAATAAGAGAAATGAAATATTGCGTGTTCTTATGCAACCAGCAGCTTATTTCTCCATCGATCTACTTCAACCATCGTCGTGAGGCGCAGAGCTGACAGGGCATTGCACGTGGTGGGCATTGAGTCGACGTGGCGGGGTGAAGAGTTTCATTGTGTGAAAATATCTGCCAAGAAGCAAAGTGGATTGTGAGTGATAGAATAGTGAAGGCGGTAAATATGCATTGAAAGGTGTAACAAACTGAGTGAGAGAGAATACGCCACAGGGGGAATACGTCTCCTTCTTGAGAGTGAACGTGGAATGGTAGAGTATTTGGTTGAACAGCAGTAGATGCAATGGACAATGCGATGACTCCTTTGCGATGCAATGCTCCCTGTGTCCTTTTCACTGTATATTCACAATGACGCTCGCGGATTGTGAGGCACCGCTTCCTCTAACAGTCCTTTCATTTATTCATCCTGTATATATCCACTTGTCCTCTCGCTCTATAAATCCGTCCTCTATCAATTTATCCATTCTATATCCATTCATCCATTTCAAAGCCATCCCTGCATGCATCCATTCATCCATCCACCCATCAATCCTTCCATCAATTCTTCTGTCCGTCCACCTTTTATAGACCCAACCATTCTGTTGCCAGGGTTCCAGCTTACCACCTTTCAGCCTCTGTCAATCCTGTCAACAATTCATCCTGTTTCAGTCCATCCAACCTCCATCCATCTTATATTTGCCATCTATTTTCC